GATGGGCTTGATTGTTCCGGCCACCTCGCGCCGTGCACTCACCGGCTGCCTGCCTGCCTGCCTTGCGTCGTCAAAGCCCTAGGAGATGGCCGATGACGCCGTGCAAAAATGACTCTTCATGCATCCATGCATGCATGCTCTTTTTCATCCATGAGAGCTGCATCAAACTACTAGTAGAAGGTTTCAGTTCATGGCTTCATGCTGTGATGCTTTAGTTAGTTTAGAATTGGATCAAGGTAGTTTGAATGTTTGAAAGGTCAGTGCAAAGCCAAGTTTAATGCTCTGCATCTAAGCTGTTCATGTCTGGAAAAGGCCCCCCTGCTCTTGCATGTACACAATACCTGCTTAGATCATGCACGGCCGGCATTAGTTTATCAAGGCGTAGAAACATCTAAATCTAGCGCTCAGAGGCACCACCCCCACCCCCACACCCCACGGCAGAACATGACAGAGGAGAGATGTGTGCATGCACATGTGTAAGACCTTGGGGAGGGAAAAGCTACACAGACGAGTGGTGGTAAATCACATCTTTACAGCCCTCCTTTATGTGCATGCACAGATGAGATCGACTTTAATCAGTTTCCACCTTAATGCTCTGACCTCCGCCTGACCCCCTCCCCTCTTCCTCCCATCTTTCTCTCCCCTTGAGAATGAAAAAGAGGGAAATGTTCTCTGAAAAGCCTCCTTTGTCTATCAACCTCCCCATGTTTGGAGTGTCTTTTCCCCTGCTTTTCCATTTTCCTAGATAAAAGAGCTCTTGTGCATGCATAGATGTGGTGAAAGAAGAATCAAACCTTTTGTCCGCGAATGCAACCACGGCAAAAGACGCGATCCATCTCTGCACCCATGCATCTGCCTTGCCTGCCCAGTTAGCTCTACTTCTAGCGCTCCATGCATTAGTGTCGTAGTAGTGACTAGTGACTAGTAACTAGCTAGCCTAGTACGTACGTACAGCAGTACACACCAAGGGACAAGCTTACAAACATGCCTAATAAGAAACCTGGAAAGATGTACTAGCTGTGGACCTACGTAGCGCACACATGCACGGCTGAGATCTATACATCTAGTATGTGCCAGTACCGTGCTGTACATAACCATTCAAGTCTAATCTAATCTATCTATGCGCGCAGAGCTAGGCTATAGGACAGCATAAACGTCTAGATCTCTCTTTAATCGAGTGCATCTAATTGATTGTCTAATCCTCCACAAGGCTTATTGCAGGTTTGTGAGTGGCAATCATGCTAGAGTCCAAGATGCAGCTGTTTTCTATGCAGCCTAGAGAGCCGGGACTGAGAAGGCAGGCAGGCAGAGGCAGGGCATACACACCACGTCCCCTCTTTCTTTTTCATCACATGAGCTCTATGCCTGTAGATTGGGCAAAGAACAAGCGGCTCCACGATCTTTTGCAAAGGTGCTGCCATCTCCACCGAGTACTATATACGCCCTCATTATTCTAGTAGCATCCTCTCTCAGTTCGTTTGCACGAATACAGATGCGTTGTTTAACATGCAGACAAGAGCGTCGCAGCAAATCGCATGCAGGCTTGTTTAATTAAGCGCCGTGTACAGTATCTCTTGCATGCAACAATGCATTGATATGATAAAGAACTGTATGGTTTCAGAGGAATCTTGGAACGACAGACATTTGTGGAACACGATATTGTCTAGAAAACTGGTTTTTAACGGCATCTAGTATATGTGTGCATGGTGTCATCAAAATGATGATGAGATAATGTGGGCCTCATCTAGAGAAGAAGCATGGCATTCTTTTTCTTGTTTCACATCTCACTTGTCTCTACATTGTACACGCATATCTCTTTATTTTTTTGAGGGGTTGTACATGCATATCTTAAATATATATGAAATGTGACGATCTCTCTCTCATCAGCTTTTTCTCGCTCTTGCTCCCTTGATTATTTAATACATATTTCTCAGTCAAAGATAGATCTAGACCTGGCCACAAATGCAGTGGGCCACATGTGGGGGATGGGAAAGGTCATGTGATGTACTCATAAAATGTCTACTGCAAACACATCATCGGGGCACAGCTTGTCATATATGGAACAGAATCTTCCATAATATTCAAACTCCATAGCCAATCTCCACATCACTGCACGCTATAAAGCAAATATACAGTTTTATCATACATTCATGCATGCTTTTGCCTCTAGGCCTCATCATGCTGTGACTTGCTTCTTGCTAGTTTTATATCAGTTCTTTCCCCTGTTGTGGAGTATTTTCCTTTCCTTTCTTTCTTGGTACTCAAAGCTACAGGCTATGACGCTACATACATTTGATGCATACTCATATATAGCTAGGGCCGTACCCCATCAGGGTACTGCACTAGTCTGGCTACAGATATGTAGCGCTGCCTCCTGTTTTGATGCATATGCATATGTTGCTTGCAGCTGGTGGTATCTCGATGAGTACCTGCATGCCAAAACCCTAAGCTAGCTAGCAGGAAGTAACTGCACCTATATCTGTGAATCGACCACCACCACCACCACCTGCAGGGCAGCCCTGGGCTGGATCTTGGGCAAGTTTGACCGACCGAGCCAAACTGGTGATTGTTGATTCACTGCTTTACTTCGCTTGGAGCGAGGGGTGTACCACCCCCGGACGGAAGTGTGGAGCGTGCACAAATCCAGCTAAACCCTGCGCGCAGAGCGATCTGATCTCACGACCCACTAGGGCCGCTCCTCAGAAGCCCTAAGGTTTTACTCGCAGCTGGCCGGTCAGTGGTCTGGCCACTGTGCGCACACATAGGCAGGCGGCAGGCAGCTCATGATGCGCGCTCTGCTCATCGGGAGTGAGGAGGAAGAAGAAGTTTGGTTCTGTTCCTTTGAATGCTGCACGCGGTTGAAAAGATGGGGTAGAGGAATGTTTGTTTGCTTGCACATTGATACTGGTGGCATTAATGGAAGCCGCAGCAGCAGGAGGCGGAGCAGCAGCAGCAGCCTTGCTAGCTGCATATGCTGCGTCCGTCGCCCGGCTCCTGCAAGCGAGCGAGAGGCCCGGCCGGCCAGTGTGGCAGCGGCAGGGGTGGTGGTGATGATGGAGGTAGCGGCGATGGAAAATGAAGTTGCATCAAAAGTGGATCCCTCCCAGCGAGCCCGGCAGTGAGCCCAGATGTGCATTGTTATTGTTACCACTCACTACTCACTCGCTCACCAGTCGCCTGTACGTATATTTACTCCCCTCCCTTTCTCTCTCTCTCTCTCTCTCTCTCTCTCGACATGTTGGCTCACTGGTTTTCTTTGCTTGCTGTGTGTGCGTGTGTGGCGTGGAAGTCACGGGCCTGCGTCGAGAGGTGCAAGTCACCAGGCACAGCGCAGGGAAAGTATCTTTGGCTGTTTCGCAACTAGACATGTGTACATGTCTGCGGCGTGCAGGGCTGTGCGTTTGCATGGGGTGAGAAAGAGACGAGAGAGGGAGAGGAAGAAAGGGAGAAGAACAATTTGGTCACTAAATACCACGAGGATACCGGCCGTCCGTGCGGTACAATCCCTTCTCTTCTCTTCTTTTTCCACATCCACATCCTCATCCTCTTGCATCGCAGCAGCAGAGCCAGCTTTACTTTTCCTTACTTTTTCTTTTCTTTCCTCTCGCTTTTCTGACCGATAATAGTATATTATTTGATGATCTATCGATCGGCCCGTGCCCGCCCGCCTGCTGCCACCTCCATGGATCGATCCAGCTTTACTGCAAAATGTTCTCCTGTTCCATCGTGTGATCACATCCATCGCCGCCGTACACCCAACGGAGACTTTGGTTTTGGAGCCATCCGTTGAACCGGGCCGTCGATTTAATGCCCATCCATCTACTCTCATATCTGCATCCATCTCATGTACACATCCATCTCGGTCCTTTCCTGCTCCTTTCATCAATTTGTGCAGTTGCATGCAAAATTATTATCTTCGCAGGAAAAATATATATAGAAACTTATTGCATGTAAATTTCTGCAGCTTCAGTAATTACCTTGTGTCAAGATCGTAGGGACACTAGCCGTAGAACCCTTCAGAATTATCTCTGGGAATTCCACAACAAGTAACAGCAAGAGCCAAGAGAGAGAACCTTGCACTGTTTGACTAGTCTCCCTTTTTACACCTTGGCCATGGCGCCTTGTCTTGCCAAAAAAAGAAGATAGAGCTGACGTGGGTCTGAGAAAACCATCCTTGACCATTTGCACTGCAGTTTTGGAGGAAAATGCCCCATGCTTTAGTAGCATACAAGTTTTTCTCTCCCAAGAAATTAGTAGCAAAATATGTATCATAGCTATACATAAATCTGGAGAGATCTTCTGCTGAGATCTGAACATCTGATCAGTGTGCATGATCCTTACAAAGCTGGTGCTGCACATTGACCAGTACTATGGCTCAACTAAGCACATTAGGACTGTAGCAAACCTGCATATGTTAATTCAGTTGCAACATCGACCCTTCCTTGTGATTTCCTTCCAGCACCACCTTTGAACTTGAACACTCTGAAGCACATCCACGTATACAAGCAGCACTGCTGATGCACAGATATCGATGCGTACGCATATATAATGATGAGAGGGGAGGGGTCGGCTCTGCTGATCTAGTGCTACTATAGCCCTAGCTAGAGGGCGAAAGAGAGAAGGAAAGAGGGCGGTCCATCCAGGCAGCAGCTGCGCGCGTGACCCACACGAGAATATTTGGAGGCGTTCGTGGGCGTGGGGGCGTGTCATGTGTGTGTGTGTGTGTGTGTGTGTGTGTGTGTGTGTGTGTCTGTGTGTGTGTGTCTGTGTGTGTGTGTGTGTCTGTGTGAGTGCGAGACAGTGAGACTGGAGATATAGCTAAAGAGGCGCAGCCTTTCTTTCTTCCTCACTCCCCCCTCACTCTCCCTCTCTTCCAGTCTTCCTCCTCCCTGGGCTTAAGCTTATATTGCTGCTCCTTCTTCTTCTCCACCCGCCTTGAGTGACCGAGTCCCTGAGCTACTAGGTAGAAGCAGCGGGGTGTACGTGTGGTTGTGAGGGCCATGGCTTTCCTTGTGGAGAGGTGCGGGGAGATGGTGGTGTCCATGGAGATGGGCTCGGGGGCGGCGGGGGCGCACGGTGCCGGCGGCGTTGCTGGGAAGCCGGTGCCGGCGCCGTTCCTGACCAAGACGTACCAGCTGGTGGACGACCCCTGCACCGACCACATCGTGTCGTGGGGGGAGGACGACGCCACCTTCGTCGTCTGGAGGCCGCCCGAGTTCGCCCGGGACCTCCTCCCCAACTACTTCAAGCACAACAACTTCTCCAGCTTCGTCAGGCAGCTCAACACCTATGTATGTTACTCATTATCTGCTGCCACACACACAGAAGCATCATATGCACACCCACGCATGCATGTTTAGTCCAGAAAGGCTGCTCTTTGTTCGATTTGTTTTGTTAATCTTCCTCCGGTTTGCTAGCTATTAGGTCGTCCATGGCGTGTATATGTGTGGGATGTGTTCATGTTCATTATACAAGTTTTGTTTGGTTTGGTATTTTAATTTGGTCAAAGCAATGGTGCATGCATGGATGGCCTTGCATCCATCCATTGTTTCCTAGAACGTGACAAGCTAGATGCAAAAGTTAATGCACCTCTTTTCAAAGATTTTGTTTGCGAGGTGCATGGGAAAAGGGCTGTATATGGGTGTGATTTGTGACATTCCAACAAGATTATTAGTTCCTTGCTTCCTGGTTTGCGACAAGGAGCTGTCGAATAGATCAAGCTGTAGCTAGAACGCGTCCATCACCCACACTGTTCTTTTGCTGAATGAAATTTGATTTGATTTAATTTAATCTAATCTATGCCCCCCTCCATTTCTTACTACTTTTGTCTTGCTTTGCTGGCGATTTATGCAAGCTGGACGATTTTTCCGCTAATCAGTTAGTTCATCAGTTTTCTGTCAAGATGTATATATGTGTGATAAGCGAGGACCGTTTTGTTTCTATTTGCACATTTGGTTTCTTCTTTTAAAGCATGAGTTTACTAGCTGCACTTGCCATATGCTTCTCTTCTGTCACTTGGATAGCAAAAAACAAGTGCACAAACTAATGTGGATGCATACTAAGAAGTGGAGTTTGTACTCAGAAGCTTGTACACACTCTCCCAACATTGCCACACCACTCTCCACTGTCAATCATTGGGGGAAGATTGACACTATACACAGGTCGGATTTATGTATGTAGAGCTATGCCCTACGTATATATATACTACCATGCAATGCATTGCCACACCACACTACATGACATGACTACTATATATACGTGCAATAGCAACACTGAATATTCAGCCGCCATGTCATGTATCTCCCTGATGATCTCAAAGAAAACACAGTAACTATTGGGTGTTGATTTTTAACTAGCTAAGAACAGTTTGATTGATTTTTTTTTTGTGCACTTGGCATTGCGGTTTGCTGCAGGGATTCAGGAAGATAGTGGCCGACAGATGGGAGTTCGCCAATGAGTTCTTCAGGAAGGGAGCAAAGCACCTCCTCGCTGAGATCCACCGGAGGAAGTCGTCGCAGCCGCCTCCGCCGTCAATGGTGCCGCACCAGGCCGCGTACCACCACCACTACCACCTCGGCAACACCTTCTCGCCACCGCCGCCTCCACCGCCGGCGGCTCATCATCACCATCACCCGGTGTACCAGCACTTCCAAGAAGAGCCAGCGGCCGCGGCCACGTCGCACGGCGGAGGCAACGGCGGCGGCGACTTCCTGGCGGCGCTGTCGGAGGACAACCGCCAGCTGCGGCGGCGCAACTCGCTGCTGCTGTCGGAGCTGGCGCACATGAAGAAGCTCTACAACGACATCATCTACTTCCTGCAGAACCACGTGGCGCCCGTCACGAGCCCCTCGTCGGCCGCGTTGCAGCGGCACCCGCCGCTCCCCGGCGCCGGCGCGGGGGTCGCCGCGTCCAACTCGTGCAGGCTGCTGGAGCTGGACATGGACGTGGACCGGGACTCGCCGGCCGCTGAGGAGGACGACACGGTGAAGCTGTTCGGCGTGGCGCTGCACCACGGCAAGAAGAAGCGGGCGCACCGCGAGGAGCGCGGTGACGTCGTCGCCCATGATCTCGGAAGCGAGGTCTAGGCTGCTGCGCCGGCGATCTCGCCCTCGATCGGTCGTGTATGTACATAGAGAGGAGAGAGGAGTAGCTGTAGCTCGCTCGCTAGCTAGCTAGGTAGCTTTGCAGGCTTGGTTTCTTTTTGCGCGGGTGCTGGTCGATTAGCTTGAGAGATGAGTTAGGATCAATGAGGTCATCGAGTAGTCTGCGAGATGAGTTAGGAACGTAGGATCAATCAGGTCTCGAGTAGTTTGCTGCTTGCCAAGCCCTTGCACCATTCTTCTTGATATGTTCTTTGCTGCCTTTGCCCCCATGCATGCACGAGGGCCTGCTATCTTGCTCATGCAAAAACTGGTTGCTCAATGCTATTAAGTGCAAAGTGTTCTCTTCTTTCTCTCATAAGTCATAACACGGGAATGGAAAAAGTAGAAGATTAGTGTGCCGTATCCTCTTCAATTCAATTGGATTGAAGAGGTGCATAAATTTTCTTCAAAAAATATTTGACATGGAGACACCACATGAAAAACAAAGGAATGGCAGATTTGAATTGGTGGAAATTTGCCCCAAAAATAGTGTGTAAAGGAATCATTATGACTTTTTCGTAAGGATTCCACTCCTGGAGTCTGATGACAGTATGACACACGGGAATAATTTTGAAAGCTGCAAATCCTCTCAAAATTATGTGAAATTCCGTTGAATCAAAGAAGCCCACAGAGTGTCAGCGTACGAGCCTACAATTCATAGGATGCAAATCCTCTAAAAATTATGTGAAATTCTCTTGAATCAAAGAAGCCCATGTAGTGTCAACATACGAGCCTACAATTTTCATGCGAGGGGTGGAGATAAACCTAATTTGGACAAACAGAAGACAACCCTCATAAAAATTTAAAATTTTGCATGCATGTATTAGAGAGCGCAGTTTGATGGACAACCTTGTTGTGTGAGATTAAGGAATACCTCAACCCACTGTGAACTAGCAATTCCAACATATTTTTATGATCTATTATTGAATTTACATTTATGGTGAGCTAGCTATATATACCTCCATCTCGAAATGTAAGACGTTTAGTGTGATGGATAAAAAATATATAAATATCTAGGTGTCACATACAAATTATACAAGCTTCTGAAGGAAATAGCAGATTTATCATAAAAAACTGTTTATCTATTTATCAGATTTGTTTTTACTCACATGCAATTGCCTGTGCGCTGCAATAGGGCCTAATATGATTCTGTACCAAAATAATGGATTTTAATTTATCCATTGAAGGAACGAAGGGGCTGTTTGGTTTTTGCCTGCGCTAGCCCCACCAAGCAAGAATCTGCCACCAAAATATTGGTGCTCATCTAAACGGAAAACCCAGCCTGGTCAACGACCAATTTTTTAGGTCGGCATCCCCTCAGAAAAAAAGGAAAAAACTAAAGGCTCCAATCCAAGCCCCTAACTATTTTATCAGCATATTGCAAGCAAAACTATAATCAAAATCATACTCCCTCCGTCTCATAATATAAGAGCGTTCTTAACACTAGTGTAGTGTCAAAAACGCTCTTATATTATGAGCAAGAGGGAGTACATTGGAGGATGTGAAAAAGGCAAATGCATCTCACATTTAGGGAAAGAGGGAGCAATATAATTCCAAGTAAATATATACATGTTCAGATAACATTTTGCAAAAAATGATCAAGTACAGATAACAAGGTAACGCAACAAAAGTGTAGTTGTATGATGTAGTGTATTTGTTTTCTTAGCTGACAGATCCAGCAAGATCAGTATACAACACCAAAAATAAGTCGTAATCTCTCTTCTGGTCCCAACTACAAAGATATATCTTGTCTGGATATTACAACATATAGCAGGTGGATCAGCAGCTCAGTACAGGCTAGAGTGTGTGTAATCAACTGCATATATCCAAACATTTTGCCGTGTCTATGTGAGACAATTATGTCTCATGGTAAGGAGAGCAGGTCATCGTTTCTAACCATTAATGTCAATGACAGATTCACGCAGGTCATCTAGTGTAAACTGGTACTTCCCAGTTTTTGGTGTTCTTTTTGGGGTCGTCGCAGAGGGCAAGATCACTATCCAGCTCTTTCATTGTCTTCACAAATGTCTTTGCTCCTTGCATGATTAACCTTTCCACCATGAATAACTGGTAATTGTTCTCGATTATTGGCTCCAATATGCTACTGAAGTTAGATGAGTATGCCAACTTGTACCTGTACCCACATAATGAGGAACTCATTATAATCTTAGGCAGCTTGTCTCCTCAAACTAGATGCAAATTTTGTAACTCGCCATTATATTGTTAATGGTCGAGTTCCATAGTTATGCCGTAATGATCATGTGCATAATTATAAATGCAGGAGAAAAATAATGAAATAGATCAAATTACAACAGTTCCAGGACAGGAAGGCAGATTACTTAAGTACTACAGCTTCTAGTTCAATTGCTTAGGAATGGTCAATTCCTTAAGTATATGGAAACAAAAGAAAAAAAATCCTTATGCAATGATCAAGCGAACACAGTTCAGTCAGTCATGGTAAACTATTTGCAGAAAACGAACTCTACCATGGTCATATCAGAGATCCTGATCCGTGATGCAAGAAAAGCAGATGGCAAATGGTGTCAGCCTTACCTGTCTGATAGAGGCGAGAAGAAGCCTGGTGTCCTTTCATTTGAAGCAATGAAAAGAGTGCGACCTTTTGGAATCCACTTTGCGATTCTTCTTTTGATGAACTCAGGGCGGGTATCTCTGTCCAGATGAGGATGAAGGCTCCTCTCAACACCAAATCTATCTTTCCTATTCTTCAGTAGGTCACCCCGTCTGACATGAATAGCATCATATTCACCAAGGATCTCTTTTATCTGAAGAAAGCACACCAGTTTAGTGACAGAAGATTGATGTATCACTGAACATACACAAACAATACATTTTCTCATACTACATGGGATATTATGTTCTGCCTGACCAACTATACACAACCAAAAAAACCAAGAGCAGTCTCTTACAACTACAATAGACTCTGAAGTTCTTTCAAGAGAAGCAGGATGCAGCTAGCATATAAACAATTAAATATGAAGAGAAAGTAGGGACTGCACGAGTAATATCATACCACACCATATTCCAAGAAATAAATGTAGCAAAATGAAGCTCTGGATTACTGAGAATGCATTTAAACAAAATCTCATGCTGGCATGAGCTGAGAGTGTACTGCAAGAAATAATTATTCACCAACCACTAGTAAGTTAACGGTATATGCAGATACACACTGCTCCCTGCTGAGACATGTGTTCAAACGATATAACCACAAAAGTACACCAAAGGAAGTGCATAGATTTGCTTACTGGAGGATGTGGAAATCGAGGCCTTCTAACTGGGAACTTAGCATGATACACACATGGTTACTCTCATAACTAAGCGTCAAATTTCAAGGATTTTGGGTTGCAGATTATATTTTTCTTTGGCATCAACAGAATCCACGTGATTTAAGAAATCACCCCAAATAAAAATCAAGAATAAGATTAATTCAGAACAAGCAAGTTAGTGCGATAAAACATATTTTTATTCGAACGGAGTAATCAGATCCGATTAAAACATGTGATACATGGCAGAAAATCATTCTAATGAAAATATACCTTACGTGCTGCAACTCTCAGTTTTCTAGCTGGCATAGTTGGCAGAAAAGTGTATGGTAACATCACAGAGGTACGCTTGGTCCGATCCTTGCACTCCATAAACCTGAACTGTAATGATGATTAAGGTCTATTCTTCAAGTTTAGACATAACATATAGCTTAGGTTTGGTGTGGTCACTAGAACTTGAGGCCATCTGAAAATAAAAATTAAAGAACATAAAGACCCTGATGGACTTGCATTCTCACCAAGCAAGAGGACTTGCAGTGCGGTTTACAAGAAGAGCATCTGAGTAAAGTGGATTATCTTTGAGTTCATCTCTGCTAACTCCTTGCACGTGCACTACGTTTCCTTCTCCTAGTTTTGTACTTCTTGATACTATCCCATACCATGAACGCGGATTGTCCAAAACAACAGGTACAGTCTTCGATATGAGGTCTATATCATATAAGGATTCCATTGCACAATAGCTCGTTTCCCATCTGCAAAAACATCACAGATTCAATTTCCAACTCAATTTGACAAAACAGGCAGACATAAGTGCTTAAGAAACAAGACCTTGGATTTGAAGTTGCGTTGCTTGAATCAATTATCCCCTTTGTGTTGTGCACTGAACTAAGGCACATCCTCGAGGGCATGACAAATATTCTGCAGAGAAACCACAATGCAGTGTCATTGCACATTAGCATATCCTGACCCACATTACACATAGCATTTGCACCAATTTGCCTCCTAAAAATGGATCATCCTTTGCAATTTGGAAGCATAATCTACAAAATTTTCACCACCGGGGTACCCATTCCCGTTTCATGAAGCCTAGAACCACCTTGCCACCTCACAGCAGGCCGCAGGAAGCGACGAGGACGAGAACGAGATTGATTTGTTACCTGTCGAGGAAGAGGGCCTCCTCGAGGGCGCAGCGGAGGCTGGACTCCTGGTGGCCGAGGCCGGCGCAGGAGCTGCAGTGCTTGCCGGGGCAGTCGATGCGGGCGCCCCAGTAGAGGTACTTGCGGCTGCTCTCCCGCTTGTCGACGCTCCTGGGCTGGAACCCCAGGTAGGAGAAGGAGTGGGTGAATGAGAGGACGCAGAGGATGGAGAGGACCGCCCCGGTGATGACAGCGGCGAGGATTGCCCTCGCGGTGGGCAGCGGCAGCGGGCTCCGCCGGCTGTGGCCGCCGGT